AATCTGTTGGTTTTGTGGAGGGTGGATTTAGTACCGATGAGGAGGAGTTCTGTTTTGTCGCTGTTAAGTGTGAGGAAGTTGTGTGTGGACCAAGATTTAATTTCTGAAAGGCAGTGTGAGAGGGAGGAGGGTGGGAGGGATGCGTCGGGTTTGCTGGAGAGGTAGAGCTGGGTGTCATCCGCGAAGCAATGAGTGTATATCAAATTTACGGAAAATATTGCCAAGTGGGAGAAGGTAGATAATGAAGAGGAGGGGTCCCAAGACAGAGCCTTGGGGCACACCGGAAGAGACAGGGAGGGACTGTGACGTGAAGGAATTGAGTTGGATGAACTGAGAACGCCCAGAGAGATAGGAGTGAAACCAGTGTAAGGGGGTGTGAGTGATGCCTATGATGGAGAGTCTATTTAGGAGGATGGGGTGGGAAATTGTATCAAAAGCTGCACTCAGGTCAAGGAGAATGAGTATTGAGATAAAACCGGCGTCTGCTGCCATAAGAAGGTTATTGGTGATTTTTAAGAGGGCTGATTCAGTGCTATGACGGGGACAGAAACCGGACTGGAATTGTTCGTAGAGATTGTTATGGGTAAGGTGGGAGTGAAGTTGAGAGGCAACAATTTTTTCAAGAATTTTGGAGATGAAAGGGAGGTGCGAAATTGTGCAGGGGTTATTGAAATCGTTGGGTTTTGTTCAAGAGAGGAGTGGCAGCTGCAGTTTTGAAGGGGACAGGGGCAATTCCAGTGGACAGTGAGGAATGGATGATGGCTGAGATGAAAGGAAGCAGAGAGGGTAAGCAGGATTTGACCAGGACTGTTGGGAGGGGATCAAGTAGGCAGGAGGAAGTTTTGGATTTGGTAATATCTGAGATTATTGAAGGATGGGGGAGTTCAAAAGAGGAAAGTTGGTGGATTTTATTTACTTTTTCAATAAAAAATTGGAGCAGAGAGTTGCAGGTGTCAGAAGAATAAAAGTGTGGGGGTAGGGAGACGGGGTTGAGTGATTTTGTTCAGGAGAGAAAAGAGAGTCCTAGTATTTCCAGTATTGGAGCATATGAGTCCAGAGTAGTATTGTGATTTGGCTTGAGAAATGGAGTCCTTGTAATGGGAAAGTTGAGCTGTGTAGATGTCCTTGTGAACAGTGAGACGAGTTTTTCGGTAGAGTCTTTCAAGGTGCCGGGTTTTGGTTTTAATGGAACGGAGAAGAGGGGTGAACCAGGGGGCAGACCGAGTGAAAAGGACAGAGCGGGACTTGACAGGGGCGAGCGTATTGAGAATGTTGGTGAGGGCCGTGTTGTATTGGGAAA